CTAACGATAGGCCTTTTACTTCAAAAATGGTAAATGGACCTTTCCCTCTACTTTGTATAGACATTCGATACAGAAATGTTGCATTTGATTTTTCTGTTGGACGGAATCCTTTTCTTAAACTCAAACTAAATCATGCTATGTACGTTTGTTACTTAGGTTTGATTATATTTAAGAAATGAACATTTCCCGTTTTGAGTAAGTGTTAAAAACGTTGAATGAATCCTATTTTTGATAATCTTATGAGTTGAAGCCTTTAAGTCAAGCATTATATTACCGTGTTTTTTGCCAACAGTCATAATGCTATCTATTCCGCCCGACACATCATTATTTTGCTAAATATTTTCCAAACTTTCACTCGTATTAAACATTTGCAAAGGCACAGCCTCTACTCCACCTGGTCAGGTTTAAAATCCAACAGAAAATGCTAATTCAAAATAACAACGATTTTGTGCCGCAAAAAGGGGATGAAGTCAATAAAAGTTATAGACAGTTATTTACCTTAAACTGGTTATTTGTTTATAAGCAGAATTTTTTACGACTATTTGTATTTGTATTTGTTGCTACCTAGCATCCGAAGGTAGTTTTTAGGACACTGAGAAGCTATGCTTATCGGGCAGTGCCCTGGTCCTTCCTCTCGATGTGATCACACCTCGTGATTCCTATGCCTGGAATTACAGAGAGCTGGTGACTCTCCATACTCTGGGTGAAAGTTTAGTCATGCCAGGGACTCGAGAACCACAGACCCCTGTGTCTGTAGTCAGCGCCTCTAACAACTGAGCCATCCTCGCATGACTAGCAGCAAAATAACAATGTTTGATACTAAGCAGAAGCGTTTGAGAAAGGTTAGATGGGTATCCGAGCTGGGGGGAGGGGGTGGTAGGAATGGTGAGTCAAATGGGGCGCTTCTCGTCCTTAATGTACCAGATATAGAAAAAAGTGGTAGGAAGGGGGCACGTGCCACTGAAAATTATGTTTAACAGCTCATCCATCATTAGTTTTAACATTTCACTCAACACTAAAATATACTCTAACATAAGACGTGTCATCCAACATTTGACCAAACACTGCAAGGTACACTGACACAGATAGTGGGACGATCCTTCATGTCATCCAACATCTGATATAACATCTGACCCAACACTGACAGACACTCTGACACAGGTAGTGGGACGATCCTTCATGTCATCCGACATCCGATATAAAATTTGACCAAACACTGAAAGACACTCTGAGTCAGGTAGTGAGACAATCATACATGTCATCCGACATCCGATATAAAATTTGACCAAACACTGAAAGACACTCTGAGTCAGGTAGTGAGACAATCATACATGTCATCCGACATCCGATATAAAATTTGACCAAACACTGAAAGACACTCTGAGTCAGGTAGTGAGACAATCATACATGTCATCCGACATCCGATATAAAATTTGACCAAACACTGAAAGACACTCTGAGTCAGGTAGTGAGACAATCATACATGTCATCCGACATCCGATATAAAATTTGACCAAACACTGAAAGGCACCAATCTGACACAGGTAGTGAGACAATCATACATGTCATCCGACATCCGATATAAAATTTGACCAAACACTGAAAGACACTCTGAGTCAGGTAGTGAGACAATCATACATGTCATCCGACATCCGTAATAACATTTGACCAAACACTAAAAGGCACCAATCTGACACAGGTAGTGAGACAATCATACATGTCATCCGACATCCGATATAAAATTTGACCAAACACTGAAAGGCACCAATCTGACACAGGTAGTGAGACAATCATACATGTCATCCGACATCCGTAATAACATTTGACCAAACACTAAAAGGCACCAATCTGACACAGGTAGTGAGACAATCATACATGTCATCCGACATCCGATATAAAATTTGACCAAACACTGAAAGACACTCTGACACAGGTAGTGTGACAATGCTACATGTCGTCCAACATCTGATTTAACGGTTCACCCAGGCACTCTGAATCAGGTAGTGAGAAGATCCGTCATGTCATCCAACATCCGATTAAACATTTGACCAAACACTGGAAGGCATTCTAACCAAACACTAAAAGAGGCTGGGAACTAAACATTTGCCCTAGTAGCAAAACTTTGTTTATAAACTAGACAGGCTTCAGTAAACAGAGGAGAAATATTTATATCAATATAATAACATAATCAGAGTATTGCTACATACCCTGGACCATGCTCAAAGTAGTATAAAGAACAGAATATAAGGTGGTAGTTTAACTACTAACTATTATATCAAATCAGAATTACAGAGGATGTGGACGGCTACATTGTTACATATATATATGTATATATAGAAACACTAACAGGATTAAATGTACGAAAGAAAGGCATGGGCACACACAATTGATCAGCACTCTTTACATGAAACTTCGAAATCCAATTGATATCTTCAAACGAGAATCAAGACAAAAAAACCTTTTCTTTTGTTGACCATGCCAACGACAGCGCTATCTTTACCTTCTCGCATAGATATACGCATGATCATACCCAGCTGAGAAATGTGATATTAATTAACACACAATGTTGGTTTTTTAAGTCTATGTTCAAAACAAAGGATCAACTAAATAAATCAATTATACAAAACAAAGGATAAAGCTGCAAATTACATGCGAGTGAGAAGCAACTATGACCATGACAACAAACCAAAACTCAGATTTTGGGATAGTTGGAGGGTCATGGTAGCCAACCTTCTGATAGAAGATGGTACCTGATGATGATGAGAAGTAACTGTTCGGACCAAGCAAATGTTTCAGTAGACAAAATTGAAAATAGGAGAAAAAGTAGAGTCTGCGAAGCCGAGCTGATTTTCTTTTTCACAGGTTCCTCAAAATCAAGGAACCGAATTTGATTGGTTGGGGGGATTTCAATTGTATTTTTTCAGTTTTCAAAGTGGCGCCTTCGAGCAGAAGTATAAATGAATGGCATCAGGACAATAGAATAGGTCTGTTTGTTCTTTCGAACAACTAAAATTACAGAAAAACATGGAGTTGTTGTTCTAGTGCTTAGAATAAAACGTTGATGTCAGCGAACAAGAAAAGCGGCTCTGTTGCGCAGACTAATGTATTAGTAGTTCTCAACAACAACTCAACAACAGCCATTTTGAAAAATAAGCTCACAATGACACTTATGGAAGTTAGAAACATTAGTTAATCTTATGATTCATTGAAAGCTATAGAGAATTGAAAGGTAGAGAAAGTTGCTTTATAGTATACATCGAGCAAAGGGATGTCGCCCCGCTCGCCTCGCCACGCAGGCTCCCGAGACTAACTCTCTGTCCCCACTGTATCCACATTTTTCTCTCTTCTCTAATCTGTGCCAATACGCTACACAAGGAGAGCGCATTGAATGTGCAAATGGATACAGATACCTCTGATCAAGGGGCAAACCGAATATCAGGCGTTACTGTGCGAACACCGACTAAACACAGTTGACGTTCGATACTTGCTTTTATTATTTTATCCCTGTTTAGGCCAACTTTTGTTCATTCGATTGCAAGCAAATGTTCTATATTCCCTTTTGCTTTCCATTGGAATTGGTTTTCGTGGTTTTATGGGAAGTTCACAGTCTTGCTTGCAGTACGACAAAAAACAGCAACAATTTCAAGGCTATATGGCACAATGTTTTTCAAAGTGGAGGATCAGCAAAACGTACTGATCATCGCAGAAATTTGGCACATATTGATAAAAAAGACTGGATCGAGTCTTTTGTGACACGAGTGTCGCCATCCGAAAAGAGGACCCCAAAACATCCCATCCGAGGATAGGCCATTCACATTTACTCCTAACAATATTTTCATCTGATTTGGCTTTTTTCTCTCTTGACACTGATAAACACCACTGATATACAAAGCATTGCAGCTCTCGCCAATCCATATCATTCACGCAATGGTTTTTAGAAATTGCTTATCCCTTTTGTTCGGGGCCCTAGTTCTTTTGATATTGAGGTTTAATCAATGCTCTGTGGGTGTATGCAATAGGGCACCATACCCAAACATGATTTAAGCAGTCGGAATGAAATAAAACAATGATGAACAATAGCAGGAGAATTTTTCTTCTTGCAAAGGATGGTTTAGTAAAGCTGGTAGACAATTATTCAGAGCTGGTACCAATGGGGGCTACTTACTTCAGACACATTTGATGTTGATGTTTAGGTCTAACACAGTTGCCCGATGATCGAATTCAGCGTGAAACTTGGAGCTTAGACCCGTCCTGTTCTATACAAGTAACATAATGTACAGCTCTGACTATAAGGCATCGAGCACCTTATGACAGATAGGCAAACAGTAATTTTGACTAACCTTATGAAATATAGAACGGCTGTACATTCTTATCAATCACCATTTCATTTCAATCACAAACAATAATTCAAACACCACTTTATATTTAGCCTTAACTTCGTAAATATCTTGGTTTACAATATGCAATTACCAATATTTATTTCTGTATAGATGCCAGGAATCAAGAACATAACTATTTGGTAGCCTGTTATAAAGTGATTGGTGTCGTATAGACTGTAGATGCCTTGGTGTGTGTAGAAAAAGATGGTTTTTCCTTTTAATAGCATTAAGCATGGAACTCACGGTTGCAACTTGGAACTGTCTTTTTCTACACACAAAAATAATGTCAAGTATTATGCATGAAACTACAATATAATATCAGAAAAAATGAGCGAATTCGTGATGTTAGAACAAGCCAAGTCCTTCCACATTTGGCTAATCTATAGAGACAGTGACACATTTATGTGTGGAACTTTTCAAGCAAGGAGTTAAACCAAAATCTAGCTACATATTTCTGAGCCAATGATTTCAAATGAAACATGCTGCTCCAGACTACCCTTTTTATGAAAACATCTGATGTAGTGGTACATTGATGAGAGTCAGGATTCAATAATTGAGAAGTAAGATTGTCAAATTGATCCAGAAGTGGTAAGCAGACAAATAGATGATAATCAACACAACTTGATTGAACATAGATCATTATGTTGACATATTCACACAAACTTTACATTCCATTTCAGTCAGAACAGTGCAATTCTTGAAAATTACCTTAACAGGTTGAATTTTTTTAGATATATCCGGGTTACTTCTTGCTCTTCTTTGTCAGCTTGTACATTCCATAAATGGCAAAAAGACTACCATAAACCGCAAAGACGACCTAAGAAAAAACAAGATATTGTAACCTTAATTTTGACGAAACTTAAACCAAAGAGTCATCAGAATCACGAGGTAGGTCTGAGTTTATAATCTTTAATTGAAGGCTTTTGATCAGCCATGTATACTAATGGAAATATTGAAATAAGTAGCCAATTAGAATAATTCTGTGAATCTGTTTTGCATAGCATCCCTCAATAGGGCCCATTCCACTCATCCTAAACTGGAGGGGCCAGCGAGGTAGACACTGTTTTGCTGACACAGTTTTATTGCAGACTTTAGTTCAATTTATTTCTTGTAACCCACAGTTTTATCTAGATAGATAATTTCAGCCGATTTTACATTAATTTAGCCAAAAAGTGGGGAGGCCACAGCCCCCGGTCCCCCTGTGGTGTGGGACCAACTCATCAAAGAATTACCACTCAAAAAAGCACCCAATCATGAACTAAAATTGGACAATAGACACAACCCCTTAAACAAGCACACATTGCACTTCAATAGATTCAGGAGATTAAAGGTAAGAACAGGCCTGGCCGTTTAAGGAAAGCGATACCTAGGCTTGCCTCTGAGCTCCCCTCAGAACCTGAAACAAGCTGTGAATTACTCTCCTAAACTAACAGTGAGAGGAAAAGTGCTCCTCTTGAATTTCCATTCATTTGCTCATTTCATATTCTTGGAATTATAAAAACCTTCAAAGTGATATTTGGTTTATTTTTGTAAAAGCATTTCCTGTCTTCACATTCTTACTCTGAATCTTTTGCCTATCGGGCACTTTATGTAATCGTAGTCACAAACGATTTGTAAACAGATAGTGAAGCAAAATGTGTGCTTGTAGAGCTCAGAACTGTTAGAACATGTGAAAAGAGGCAGATTCTTGGTAGGGAAGTTGAAAGAACAAGTAAGAAATTGGTAGGAAAAATGAAAAAAATGGTTACTAATGTAACACAGTCTATTCTTTTATTTCCTTTGTGTATAGAGGGTGCCTTGTGTAAAAGCATATATCAATTGAACAAATGTAGTGAAAAAGTAAGTGTCATTTCAGTGCCATTGTCAAAAGCATTTATCCACACCGACATCCCAACAATAATCCACAAATGTTAACTAACCTTGAAAATACCTTAACAGATGGTGCAGGAGTAATAGACATGAGAACCTTCTTAAAAAGCACTAGAAAGTCAAAAGCTTGCTCAAAAAGTTCCAGGCTTATAGGGTGCTCTTTTTAACTGACAGTTACAATGATGTTCTTGAGATTCCAGGGCCTGCATTTCTCACAAAACCGTTGGTAACAACACCACAATGTTGGAGAAAAACTCTGGGAAAGTTGAAAAAACCATAGACAGTCAAGTTGCAAGGTTCAAGGTAGAAGACAAGGGTGAAATTGTTGTGGTGTACTTGAAAGAGGGGGAATGGAAAACAAAGCCAGTACAGAAATAATTGCAGGTATGGAATCAACAAAGTAACAAGAGGTTTGTGAAAAAGCAAAGACACCCATCACAAACTATTTGAAGAATTTGCTCTCGAGAAAGTTGTCCACACAACACACACAAATAACTTTCTAATGCTTTGAATCACCCACAGTGATAGGGTGATGATAGACACTATGGTGTAGAAAGTCTTAAGATTGTTCCAGATTGATTCACTGTTTTACTTTGGAAGCTAGAATGTTTACCTGAAGATATCTTTGCTAAATAGAGAAGATTAAAATATTTTTCAAGACTTACTGACAGGCTTTTTCAATACGCTAAAAGCTTTGTGGCCTCAATTTTTTCAGATGGAGGGGCTTCAATATTCCCAATTTGTGCATTATTTTCCAGTCACTATTACAGGCGCAATTTTTTAAGTTGGAAAAAGCTTACTGTCTTGACCCTTTGCCTAATGATTGTTGCCTAAGCATGAGACATGAAACTATGGAAAAATTGGGGATCCTCTTTATTTGTTGCTTATAAAAAATACTCACATTTCGTCTGCCTGCTATTGTGACTGAATTGAAATATCTTTGCCAGCCTTTAAGATTGGCTGCTGCTTCTACTGCATGTTCTGCTCCAGCCATTTTGCACCTGGAAGTTAAATTCATGAAGAATTTAAAATCACATGTTTTTATTGCATTTCTTTATAAGAAATAAGGCAATTACCAAAATCTAACTTGTTGATATTAACCATAACTTTTGGACAAATGCCTGTTTTAGGTCTAGGGTGAATTATTTTCCCAAGAATTTTGTAAATATTCATTTCCAGTTCCATTCATTGTTCAGATCAGGCTTTGAAAAGAGTTTTCTTCCTGGCAGGAAAATAAAAAATTCAAGATTTCCTGCGAAGCTTCGACAAAGTTTCTAGCCACTGAAAGTGATATTTTAAGTTGCTTGATTTGTTTAAACATTAGTCCTAAAAAAACTGCCATACTAAAAAAAACTCATTGCTGGCCCTTGATTTTTGATAATAGCTATTCGAACAGCAACCATTTTGTTTATACTGTATTAGATTATAAATAAGAACGTAACTAAGCATAATACTCATAGTTTGTTATCAAGGTCAAAGTTAGTAGATCTTAAAATCTATAATTACTTTGATTAAATTTCATATCAGAACTAGCAAACTAGATACTTTATTTTGAGTATTGATGTATCCTACACCTTGCTCTGGGTTTCTGTTTGCTGCTCTTCTTATCATCAAAGCTAGTAGTTTATACAACATGTAAGAATACTATTATATTTTTCAATGGTTAAAATTACTGTTTTATATCAGGATTGGTGCTAGAGGCAAAGATGTAAGACTAAAACCCTTATATTCTATAAAGAAAGCAATGAAAAATGTAAGCAAATGCCAGTAGCAAAATACAAATAATAATGGACACATCCACACAGGTTTTGGGGCATGTTCACCTTCAAAACAAGATTGGCTGTCTTCAAGTGTTTTACATATATAGAATGGCTATTAATGTAAAAAAGAAATGAACTTTGTTTTAGCTTGCTTAAATTAAATTAGTAGCTTAAAATCATGCACGGAAATTTGGCATAACAGATGCTTATAATACCAGATGATTGAAAGCAAATCTTCGTTTTTTGTTAGTAGTGCAGAACAAAAATTATATAGTATGTATGTATATCACATAAAAACAGCATTCCGTAGAAATATTGTAACATGAATTTAATGTTCATATTAAAATCAAGTATGGAGATTTCATGCTTAAAATTTCCTGGCAAACAGCAACAATTTCCTGCAATAAATTTGTACTGAATAAACCTGGCAGGGCTGCTGCCGCAGCTGCCGGACATTTTCCAGCCCTGATTCAGATATTATAAACATTGCTTTAACACATTTAGACATTATTTATTGTTTTTAATTGCACAACATATTAATTAAATTTTCATGGCAAAAACTAAGCTTATATATAATTTCTATGGTTCCTTTTTTTGATTAATTTTGAGTAATGAATTTGAAATTAAAAATGGTGGATAAGTGTATTGATCTGATTTCTGACCTAATTAGTTTGTTTGATTTAATTATTGCAATAAATAGATGTACACAAAAAATCTCTATAGATTGAAAAGAGCTTCATTTGGTTTGTCTTTTGGCCCTCAAACATGCTGTCTTAACATCTCCTGGCAATACCATGTTCAGCCCATAATTTCAATAGATGAATCTTCAAAACCAATTCAAAAAAATAATTTGTCTTATCATCTTATCAGCTGGGGATCTGTGTGAATTGCTGGAAAATATGACTCCACCTAAATTAACAATTGCAAACCTGAGTTCTCTGTAAAAAGCTCCCTAACCAAAATAGGAATACAATCAATCCATGCATTCCTTGAAGTTCAAGAGGGGGGGGGGATCTTCCCATGCCACCATATTAGCTGCTAGCTACATCCGCATCATACCTTTAAAGCTCTACTCAGGTCAGTTATTTTAATTATTGATTGAGTGCTCGTTTGCAAAAATGAAGCAATTGCTGCTAATCTTAAAGGGGTGGTCTTATGAAATTTTCCTGGGAATGTAGCTTTTTGCCCCTCCCTTCTGTTCAAGTCAGATTTTTCTCTGGAACCGCACCTCAAACAGGTCAGAAGTTACTGTATATTGGACTTACCCACATAGAAATATAGGAATGCAAACTGGTAATCAACCACTTGACTTTATAATTACACGTAACACACAAAATGGGAGATCAAAGTCTTCCCATAAAAATGATTTTAGTTTGACTTGGCATCTCAGTCCTCACTTAATGATCCCTTGAGCTGAGCTTGACATTGACCCTTAAAAAACCAATTCAGCAAATTGTCCTTTGTCTAGAGGCTGTCTACTTTTTAAGTTTCACCTGTGCTTAGTGCTCCCACCTAGACTCCAGAGGGGCATCAGACAGATACATATATACCTGACAGACTTGCCATGAAAACAGAAAATAAAAAAACAATTGGCGCAATAGGCGCTCCTATATGTCAGATTACACACTGGTATGTACTGTGTGGTCAGGCAAAAGGGCTTTAATGCCTCCTAGGCCTAGGCCTATATAGTGAGATATGTCTTCCAGGACCTTACAGCCACAAATAACTAAATAATGCCACAAAACGAACAAATATAAAAAGCATAGTTAAATTTATCTGTTGAAATAAAACCAAAGCACACGAACCTTCAATTTAAAAGTATTAACAGGCTGCTGTACTTCCAACAACGTTTATGCAAAAGAAAAACAGCGAGGACGAATTTGGTACCAGGCTTCCACTCGCAGGACGCGATCACGATTTATCTCCTTCACAGAACCAAACCATGATTACGGACAGTAAGATACACTGTATTTCCGATAATTAAATATCTTTCTATTTGTGCTTTCGGTTGACGTCAAAGTTATAATACACAAAAAAATCAACGTTACAAGGCGGGAGGATGGCAATCCCCTCTAATCAGGCAAAACTTATTGCAATTAAGGCCCTAATCGGGCAGTTCTATCTCGACAAAAATATTTCGGTAAGATCCTTACAGAGCCCCCCCCCCCCTGTACGTTTTGCATCGGCTACGCCCATAATGAATCAAAGTCAAACAAAAAGGCCCAAAGGTTTTCTATTGACTATGAATAAATAAAGTACGATAACATGTCTTTTTGTGTCAGGTGAAAAGATACAAACACAGGCGAGGAAAATCCTTCATTCTACTGCCGCAAATTTACATCCTGAAAATATTCTTGTTAGGCATCTACTTACAAACGCAAGCAACAGCAACAGCAAAAACTAACGTGACAACTAAGACTAATTTCCAGAAATCGGATGTTATTGCATTGTACCAGAAAGATGATTACAATTATCCAAAATCATGGTCAAAGTTAAAAATAGCTTTGAAAGAAATGTGGAAATCGGAAATTGTCTGGAGGTGAACATGAGGGCCATTGTCTAGAATAGGCTTGCAGTTTGTTCTATGAAGACCTGGGGTCAACTCGAAACCCCAAAAGGGTGGTATTAAACTTAGTAAACTAGAAATTTTAACAACGTTTCCGACAACAAGGTCTGTTGTTACAATGGGATTTGATGAACAAGACAATTATTTGCGTAACTTGACAGAAAAAGTAAGGATGGAAGGCAGCTGAATATATTTTGTTTAAACATTCCAAAAATCTTCATAACTGCGGCATAATATTCTTTCCAGAAGTTTTCAACGAGGAAGATTAAATATACATTCGAAACGATAAGCAAAATGCAAGATAATGCCGGCATCATTAGCCACGGAGCAGGTTATTTATAAGGATGGATAACGATATATAATAAAAAAATTAAAATCTTGCGAAATAATCCATCAAAAAAATTAAATCATCCCCTCTAAAAAAATTTATATTAAGAATCCTCAACACAGGAAAGACAAATAAGGGTAAGAAAGAAATGATAATTGAATAAAGTCAAAAATTGACACTATTTCGATTAACACAGTTTTTCATTTTACTGTTTTTTTTTCAATTTATAAGCCTTACAAGATTGTTACGTGTTTCATTCACTTAATAATAACTGACAAGGTGGTAAAATTTATCCACCATTGCAAGTCAACTTTTAAATAGCAAGCTCCCAAATTCGATATATTGTGCTCGTATTTATTTTGGCACCCAGTACTGTATCAATTTGATTATTCTTGTGTGATTATTAAGCTTATTTCATGATCAATGCAAGATGCAATGGCAAACTATTTACATTTCACGAAATTATCTAAAAATGTAACAAGCGTTGTTAAAAAAAGTAGACAAAATCGAGTAAGTTCTACCATTTATTTTTTGATGATTTAATGAGCTAATGTCACGTGAAAGGAACTATATACATAAAAGGAATCATTCTAGACCAGGATCATTTTTCAATTCAGGATGTCTACAACGGAATCGCACTTCGTATTTAAAATCTGCTCGCTCGGTAAAAATCTAAATACCAATTATACAAAAATTACAAAAAATAGATAAATATGAATTAAACATTAACCGGAGTTTGTTGGCGATTCTTTTGCCGCCCTTTAAATATATAAAGTTGCTGCTGCGAACTCAGGGTAAGTTTCTGATGCCGATGAACAATCACAGTGCTCCCTACACAAAGACCACTCTGTCCCTTTGGAGTATAGCCACTCCCTGAACGAGGTAATTCAATTAGAACCGAGGCAACGGCTGCATGACCATGCGCAAACGGTTCAATACCGATCGGAGTTGGCCCGGCCTACAATGAAAGAAATTTCCTGTTGAGATCTGATCAACAAACAGGTACAAATGAAGATAGTAGCAACTATGTCTTACAGATAATAGAAATGTTCCCTGTTCATTTTGTTAAAGAAAGTGCTCCTCTTAGAGGCTAGTGGAGACATATTATCAAATTGAATTGTTATTCATAATATGTTATTAAATTGAATTGTTATTCATAATATGTTAGTAAAGCTAAACTATGAAATGCTGTCAAAGGATTGTGTCACAACAAATAAACTGGAAACACCATCTCTTTTTATCACTTGCATCCATTTTTGAACAAAATTCAGTGCCTTTTAACTTAAGACTTATTCTCGAGCGTTGAATAGATGACTTTTGGCATCTTAATAAGCAACATACTTAAAGGCCATAACTCATAACGCGATAGCTACAAGGAAATACGTGCCTTCAGATATCCTTTCAACTTGTCACCACAACACAGAGTGATGCTTGAGAATGGCCTACTCGCCATTTCTTGCAATTCAACACGGCGTCGCTGAAAAAGATTTTAAAACTTTCATCACATATATGTTCCAAAGCCTTTCAACAAGGTCGTCTTTTTATCAAAACAGTTTTGAAACTATCTTCATTAAAAAACCCAACTGGCGTAGAAAGAAAGAATTCGTTTCCCTGAGGCGAAGAACAGCTTCTAAATAATCAAAGACAGGGGACCAATCACATGCGCCAATATTCCTTCCCCGTTATATTCGATCCGCTCCAGGGTATAAATTTCTTCTTACCCTTTGGTTATATCTGACTTTTTACACTGAGATAAATTGGACAAAAAAATCTTTCGCATTCTGTTTTTCGCTGTTCGTGTTATTTCGAAAACTTTTACCGTTTTTATTTTTTTCCCAGCCCAGTGAAAACGAGGAATTAAGGATTGTCCACGTGAAACTGATTCATTTTTCAAACTTCGACATCTGTTGTTTTCTATTCAAAATAGATTAAACAAAACCAAAAAAACTGGACAACAAAGCCCTTCAATTCGAGCGGGACGAACTTTCCCCTACTGGCATAATAACAAAATTTACAGAAACCGCTCTTATTATCGCACAGCGCGTCCTTTTATTATGTTCCTTATTTTTGGTTGAATTTATGAACCCTTTTGTTCAAATGATTTAAACCATGCTTCAAGGCAAGGGTTTGGAGTCGTTACTTAAAATATATCGTTAATTACTTTTTGGTATCCAATTAAAAACAAATGATTCGGCTTTTGTTGCGATTGTTCCGTCTTTTGTCCCTATGAAGTCTTTATGCAGTCAATATGCAGCCCCTATGCAGTCCCTATAAAGTCCCTATGCAGTCCCTATACAGCCTCTATGCAGTTCATATGCTGTCCCTATGCAGCTCATATGTTGCCCCTATGCAGCTATGATGCCCCTATGCAGCTCATATGTTGCCCCTATGCAGCTATGATGTCCCTATGCAGCTCATATGCTGTCCCTATGTAGTCCCCTTGCTGTCCATATGCAGTCCATATGCAGTCCCAAATTAAAATTGAGCAGTTCATTGCATCTTTCTACATTCGAAAACATCAAGTTTGCTTACCCTACTGTATTGGTAATTACTATATTGTTGTTTAAGCTTCCAGACAACGATCAATATTATCAGCAACGAGCAGAAGCAGCTACGATACAAAAAGGAAAATGGGTTTAAAGTACACAAATACACAAGCATTAGAACCGTGCTATAAAACAATGTAAAAGGGTGTATATATGAGAAATTCAACCCGGTTATTGATTCAAACCGGCAAGTAGAAAGTATGCTATTTCTGGTGAGATCAACTCTTTTTATCGACCCGGGTTAAGATTTCACAGGCTCCCTGTTCAACCCAGAGCGAATCGAGGATTTCATTCTTATTAGAATGATACACACATAGACTGAAAACTAAGAGATTTACAAATCACCCGGAATACAAAACCTAACCCAAATGAAAGTAAAGTTTTAAAAATCGAGTAAATATCTAATGCAAATACTTTTAGCTTTCTCCTGAATGAACAGATACGCAAATTTTCAGTGACTTGAATTCCCTTCTTTATGAAAAACAGTTTACAGCGTGCTACAAAACGTTTTAATAGATCATGATATCGAAAGAACGTTAGGCCAAAGTATATTCGGAGTATTTGAAATAGCACAAGTGACAAAAATACGTGAAAATGCCGGATACATATCGGTTATCTGGATTCGCTGTTACGAAGTCTACGCTTAAATATAAAAGGATTTCAACCCAAACTGAAAGAAAGGCTAAAATTAATAGGGAAAGACAGGAATAAGCAGAGGCATCACAGGATAATTTTCAGTCAAGTGAGGTGGCAAAACACAAAGACACAACAGTGTCAATATATTGGGAAGCTTTTAGAATCAATGTGACTAACTTCAAGGGGAGGTATGGGAGAAACAAAACTATTGAGATACTTACATAAGGAACACAATGAGAAAATGTAGCCAGTTGAGAGAATTTGGCATAACCTGGTCAAATGACACCTATAGATATAAGATGGTATTTATTGGCAAAAATTATTCACAAGAAGCAACAGAGTTATGCATAACTTCAAACTCTCTTTTACTGCAAAGCTGGAACGATTGCAGAAAAGAAATCTATCAAAACAGGGCTTGGATGTCCGGGATTATCTGTCCAGGGGATGGTTTGATGCCTTGACAAACATACATTTCATGTTTTTACATCTTTTTGCGACATTTCGTACCCTCTGAATGGCTCCTATTGGAAATTCCATAATGTTAATGTTTATGGCCGTAAAAATGTAAAAACTAGTCAATTTCTTTAAGAAGCAAAACGTGAATGAAAGTGCCTATTAAACACTAATACATAATAGCGTTTCAGTCAACCGCAGATCCACCGAAGATCCTTGGTGGAATTTCTAAATGTCACGCAAACAGAGTGCTAAGAAACTATAATATTTTGCTTCACGAATTTTTTCATATATCTTTTCATATGGCTCAACAGAATTCTAGCAAACCAAACAAAAAGCAATCTACAAATGGTCTATGTGTTACATTTGTCTCATAATAAGGTAGACAAAACAAAGATATTTTCAGATTATGGAATCAACTGTAACAATAAGACACCCGAAGTTAAAAAAGGCAATGATTCAAGGATCCAATGCTTGCCTGACTAGAGACCACGAATTTATAGTGCATTTATAGACTGAGACCACGCTACTGTAAGTAAAAACGATTTTCTTTATTGTTTTTTAACTCGTGAGAACTGGAAATGAACGAAAACAAGAGAGAAAGACGATGACAAATGAAATCAGCCGAAGAAATGAAAGAAACAAGGTGGCAGATAACAAAGACTTAGGGAATGACAATTGAAAAGCAAGTGACGGGATTGAAAAAAGATTCTTGAATTACAGATATAGAAAAAAGGTTCTTTAACCACAGTCTGATTGTACCACATTGTAAAATGTCAATCGTTATTAAAAAACAATCAATCGTTAAATGAAACAGGATGCATTCAAGTGAAAAAATTACAACAGAAGTTCTATCAAAGAGAGACAAAGCCCCTACCATGTTTTAGATTATATGCTTTGAAATCTTTTGGCAATAGAAAAAATTTCCAGAATGTAATCTTTGAATTCATTTGTCAAACACTTTTATCTTCTCTGTAAGTTGTTTTGATCAGAAAAAATATTTTCTAAAACAGTCCAACTTGAAGGTGCATATCATCGTAGCATTTGTAGATTATTAGTAATATGAGACAGGTTTTGTCGAAACTTGAATGCTGAAAACAATCCAAGATTTGGAGTTTTGACAGGGAAGATTGTAGAGGCATAAAAAAGATATGTTAGCTAAGACAGAGTATGGCTTTTATTACACTGTCCTGCGTTGCGCATTGGTTTTTTACACAATCCATGTAGAGCCATGAATGTAAACAAATAATTCAATATTCAGCAATCACCTTAAATCCAGTATTCCTTGAAATATTGTAAAGATATATCTTGAATATTGGTCCAACATGTCTCCTTATTTTGAAATTTTCAGCAGAGAATTTCTTTCCATATGCACCCAGAACAAACTTTTTCACGACAAAAACCTCTTTGCCATCTAGAGAAACAATAACGTTTCATAACATGAGAGCAGATGCAACGAAGTTACCAAAGATGGAAAAGACCGGATTTTTTACAATGATGAATTTAAAAATGTCAAAATGAATTTAAAAAGCATATACAATATAGCATTAGAACCTTCTGATTTAATGGCCCATAAACTCTTCTCTAAACAGTTCTAAGCAGAAGAAAATCAATAATGGAAATAGCTAAGACTTGATTGTTATATGCAGCCAAAGCTTCGCTTTCTGGCAACATTCTCTCCCGCCATTGCTCTTCTTTGATGTGCTTTTGGCTCAAAGCATTGAAAACACTCAAAGCCTTCTACTTGCAATGAGATATTCCAGTCTATTTCACAGTATATTTCATCATACTTCGCTCATATCAAATTTAACTAGCACATCCCAAAAAAGAATCTTCGACTTGAAATTCCGACTTTCTTTCTACAATAAAGGCAGTGACAAAGATTCACCCAGATGTAAAAGCATTACCTTGTGGAAATACCTGGAATAACAGAAAACCGCAGATGAAACCATAAAATACTAGGCTGTTTAGTTCGTATACAACTGACTCTGATTACACTTAGCATATTTGATTAACAAAATAACGCCTACCTGTTGTATATGATAGATTCATGTATGCACGGTCCCCTGATCTGACATGCACTTCAAATTTGACTTCCTTATCACTCTGCATGAAAACAAACAACCCCATAAGAAACAACGAGACTGATTTAGTACTCAATCTATACTAGAGATCTCAGAAGTTTGTATGAGGATCTTGATTTTGAATAACCAGTCGATTTTACTAAAGAATCCATGCTCATTCTTACTCGTATTATCCGATTGGTATTGTAAATAAGTCATCTGCACTGCCAAAAGCGACGGCAAAAGCACTCAATATGGATTTGCCACCTGCTACTAACATATTTTACCATCAAACTAGATAATATTTCATTCTGATGAAAAAATGGGCAAACGCAGGTGCAAATAATTTCTGGATTTCTTCAAGTGATAAAATTTACATACTATGTTACAAAGATCAGTTAACAAATCGTAATTTTGTATAAGAGAGTACTGTATTTCCTTATAAACGCCAGGTTCTTCTCTCATAAAAACACCCCTTTTTCTTCTAATAGAAAGTTCCATTACTAAATGTTTGCTTCTCGCATGTTTGAGGCAAAAACAATGTATTTCGCTGGCACAACTAGCCCTATTTTCCACTACCACTATCGGTCTTACATTCATCAAGTATAATTCTGTGCCGGCTTCGTTATAATCGTGCTATTTTGGGTCATTCCCATTGGCTAAAAGCTATAAAGGATTCAAGAAATTTCACACATATGGCTACCTCGAGCATGGCTTTTGGACTCAACTCTGTCGTTTACAATAAAATTCAAGTACACCAAGAAAAAGATGGTGATGAAGCTAACGTCTGTTCTTTTGAAAAAATTAGTTGAGCGGAAATCAAGAAAATTCTCACACAAATCTTTTCGGTACAAATGATGACGAGGAAGATATTTTAGATACAACGTTGACAGTATACCGTTTTAGACAACACTTACTTTGAACTTACTTTGAGACTTAACCATATGAATACGTTGGGGCATAGATATTTTTGTTTCAGAGCTGATCGTGTTAGCAGGATGAAGGATCGAAATACGCTAATTGGAAAAATTGCTTCCTTGAAAGGTTTAATACTCGGACGATTGTTGAGCGACAAAGTGGTGTCATGTGAGAACAGTGTTGGTACTGCAATGCCTAATGATTATTAAAAGGAAAATGACAAATTGCTCATGTTATCGGTCATTGGTGTTTTGAGCAAGTGATTTGATGAGAACCCGTGTATTGTACGATAAAACCACGTGATCAAAGGGCAGTGAGTGGCCAAAATGTGTAAGTAAAACAAATATCGGTAGGAACCGTGAATGAAACTGAGGATTTACGGGTCTTAAAAATTTACAATATGCTAAGGGAATCATTAAATCATTTTCTGATTTGGTTTGGGCTAGTTTGGCTTGGCGGTGTGAATGGGGTATAAGCAAGCTGTATCGTAGATGTTAGTTTATTCTATGTCTTTGTGTTATGGCCGTGGTGTAGTCATTTATTTTTGCTCCCGTGGCATCGTCCTGTAGTGTTGCATAGTTATTTAAAGTATAGTAGAATGTAGCCAATGTTTGTAATATTCTATATGGATATAAAAAACCATTTCCTGAATTATCAGGAGAAGGGGTTCAGCCCACTGCTCTCGTGGTCACTGAACTAGTGATTAACCGTTGTGATTAACCGTTGTGATTAACCGTTGTGACTGAACTGGATTGAATTGAACTGAATTGAACTGAATTAATTAGTAGCTAAAGCTAGTCGCAAGTAAGAGAATCATATATTCTATACTCACAATTGTTGGGACAGCGTAAAAGTTGTGATTCTTATTTGTACGATTGAAATTATATTGGAAGCCGAATTGCAAACGATCTGAAAAAAGAAAACATAAAAATATCAAAGCTACTGATAAATCAACTAGGAAGGCTAGATTATTCCATGAATAATAGGCCTACAATGACTATCGAATTAAGTTTTCACTACGTCTTCATAAATCAGTCACATTGAGTAATATTACTTGGCTAGATACAAAATGACGCGCGAAAGTAAATTATACATTTTTTATCGATAGTTTTCACTGACTTCATGCAAACATTTAGATTAACATTTATAATTCCCTTTTTTACTTTTAGATTGGGATTGGCATTACCAATTTACTGCGTTGCAGTAATTTCTTAGCAGCTGGAATTGATACAAACGATTATAGTAGAGAAACAGAAGGTAATCTGTAGGGGAAACAATTTGGTTATAAAGATCTTCCATTGTTATAATTTATACTTGTTTTCACTTTTTATTATAATTTTATATAGCATAAATAGGTTGAGGGCCATCTTGGCTTGGATGCTATGGTCTATCTAAAATAGGCTTGGGAAAATGGTCCAGTTTTGAAAGTGTAAATTCTTTACCAATATAAGATAAATTGATAAAAAATGATCAGAAACTACTAGAAATCACTTTCATGAGATAAAAAAACATCTGGCTAAATATCGTTGAAAGATTGCTTATAATCAAACTTTTACTGACAAATTATGAGCGTTCGTAATAGACTTTACCTTAATTCTTGTTTACATGGCCTCTGTCGCATATCAAATATTTTCAATTCAGGCATTAGTGATAACTGCCAAGAACAACAGCCTTTATGGTCTTTAGACAGACTGGAAAACCATTTAGCATTTTAAAATAAATTGACCCTTAAAAGGACTTACAAAAGCAATGACCGCCATTTGAAGCATTACCAATGTACGAATTTGTATCACAGCTAGAATAAAAATAACAACGCAAATAAGCAAAGCAAACTTTACTTTTCAAAACCGAGAGTGAGTCGAGAGTTGCTTCGATGTACCATATGGTACAAAGTCAAAAAAAATGTTCCTCTCTCTTTGTATTCAGGTTAAGCCTTCCACTTAAAAGGATTGATAGGAATTTACGTGCATCGTAAGTGAAGAGCCTGCTGAATGTATGACAACATTACCACAAAGAGCCAAGCAAACTAGAAGGGAGGGCCTCAGCTCATAACTTGATATATTTTTTCTCGGAATTCTAAATACCCACTGAAGTAAGAATGCGAAATAAAATATCAAAAACAATCCTTTACAACAGAATTAATCGATAAACGACAAACTGCCAGAAATACCCAATCCACAGTTGTGCAAGAGTAATTGGTAAATTTCAAGGCTTGAAAATAGCTAAAGAGAAATTGTCTCTGGCAATTTCGCTAAGGAATACTTCGCAGTTTAAAAAATGGATAGTTTAAAAAATGACTATAAAGGTAGTCCAGTTTAGAACATAACTTACACACATTACGGGCGGGGACATCCTGGAGCTAGACAAAAAACGTGTGAGGAGTTTGGGAGTCAAAATTAAATATTGTTGCCCAAATTATTGCGTTTCACTTCGATAAAAATTCTGAATTTAATGGGCTGTGTCTGGTGTAGGTATAGCCTGTTTGGCATGTTATTTCCTGTCTATTGATCTGAGTGCAAGAGTCATGTTAGGCCTACCCTTTAGAATGTGAAGTTTGGTAATCTCCCAACCCTTGAAAGCGAAAACCCTGCGCACATCTTTACTTGGATGCACACAGTGCCACCACCTTGTGGTTGAATCTCTTTGCTAGAACTGCCCTTCATATCCCAAAGACGTTAGTCCTATCCTAATCAACAGACTAAAATCAAATCCACTTAAACGCAAAGGATCTGACACCGTTCTTATAATAGCCAAAACAACTTAATACATTTATCAGCTTCCGATCACTATTAATTTTCAGATATATGTATAACAAGTATCAAGATTGATCTTTATTTAATATATCGATGAACTAGACTTGTCACATATCATCAATTTGATTGATTTGAAATCTAATAGATCACATGGTATTCTGACGTAAGCACGCCATTCAAGTTCAAAATGCACAATTAATGAACTGCGAGAATCTTTTTATCCAACAAGCATGATGACATTATCTTGTCCAAATTCAACTGATAATATGGAATTAATGATAAAAAATCCAATTTGGGGTCTAATGGAGGGTTACCAAACAAGACAAGATTAAATCTTTTTCCACAGGACCAATCAAAAACATTACTCATTCCTCAAATTTTAAAATCAATTAAAATATTTGCTTTTCTAATAAATTCAGGAAAAATTAATCATCAATTAAGTAAACCAATTTTTTACTTTTTTATCTGTTAAAAAAACAAGGCGAAAATCTTTTTTAAATATATGTATTGCCCTGAGGAATCTTCTAAGGCTGCTTGTGGCCTTCGTTGAGCAGTCCTTGGGCAATTTCTTCCAAAAAGCACAAGCTGACCACAGGAAATTCTAAACAAAATTCATAATTAGTGATATTTCAAACAAGCTTGGGCAGAAAACGTCAACGATGTCTGTTTTTAAGCGAATAAGAGATTCTGTCTCTTCTGCTATCAAGTTTTCGATTTAGACCGGGTTTTGAAGTGTTTTGAAGTAAATTCTTGTCAGTTTTCGAGAATGGTTTATGGAAAACCCCATATCACAGGCAGCTAAATGATACTCAACTGGGAAAATTTATATCGAAATGATGTACATGATGAAAATATTATGTACGTAATACATGAAAATAAATCGCTTACCGTTCACAGTGATCCCCCACCAAGCCTGCGGTATCGCATTCACATTTGCCATTGACGTTATCACAACTGACACCATGGTTATTGCAATAGCACTCTACGAAAAAAAACGGTTATGTGAGTTTTCGCAAACATCAAAATTGGGGCAAAAAGAGTATCATATGCGATAAAATCTTGATCCCTTTTACAATTAGTTGGTTAGAGAAGAGCAGAGAATATAATTATTCAATCTTTTGACCAGCAAATAATCTTAGCATTACCTTTGCATGTGCCATTGTTCAGAGCAATCCCATAGTATCTAGGTTTGCATTTTTCACAATTCAATCCTGGAAAAAACATTATGTCAGCTAAATTTGACGTCATGAATAAGTCAACCATGTATCAATTTTAATACCATGACGTAATTATGGCTATGTCAGTCATATGTCAGACACCAGAAACGTCAGGCATTAAAAAAGGAGTTTTTTCTCAATATACGCATCGTACAAGAAACCCATTTATAGAAAACAGAAAGCTACAGGCATCGAAAATAAACTAATACTTTATTATTTACTTATAACAACATGTCTGGAGTTTCACTTTCACGACTATCTCATTGACAGCCTAGAAATTGCTGTAACAGAATTTAGATCGGAAATGAACCTATCCATGATGCAAACACATCTCGTCCCGTGACAACTTGAATGTTTAGGAAAAACTGAGAAACTTTCAGGCTGTTTGTTGTTTGTAGTTCGATACTTCATATAGAGATAAACAGACGAGTACAAAACTGATTTAACCATCAAATCAATTAAGAAATTCAAGAAGAAATTGACTGTTTATGGAAACAACAAGTGTAAACTGGTTAAGGATTCTAACAGCAACATTGCAATGGTCTCCATTGGCATCAAAAATAGGCTCGTTACACATCACTCTTACGCTTTGCATCTTAAAGTTTCTATAGCATTCTAATTAGTTTTGCATAACAGTGACAAGTAACGTCTGTTGGAGTTCTTACAGTGGTTTTATATGCATGATAATGCGTTGATTCAGTTTAAAAACATGAACTGTAAGTTTTCAACAAGTAAAAATGCATGAAAGATAAAAGCAAGGCTAGCACTGTGACATAATGAGCAAAATATCAGAATATCAAACCTGTGGTGTTATTCATGCATTTGACGCAGGTTGAGCCATTGCGACATTTACTGTGTCCATTACATTGGCAGCCTATTTGTAAAATTCAAATATTGTGAATCAAACAACTACTATCATACATGATTAAGTTTAAAATCAATACATACGAATTTATCAAGGAAGGGGCTACAGCCAAGCTCTCAAACAGACTGGCGGATGTTGGTTGTAGACACCTGCCTATTATAAACCCTTTTAGATAAACCTAGCATCTTATGCAAAGAAAGTGATGGGAATAAACGCCTGCTGTTATTTTCCTACGCAATATAGATTAATTCCTACTCCTTCATGGTACACGAGGGTAATCTCAAATGAAGGCGCTGATGCTAGGATGACAGGTAGTTTAAGAGTTGGATAGAGAGAATTAGGGTAAACAGTATTAAGACCCTTTCTCTTTGAGATATCGAAAAGTAAATACCAAGAACAGAGGGGTATTTCTCAAAACGAAAAATTACATGTAAGAGACAAGAAAATAGCGATGGAAACATGGTCTAGGACAAATACGGTCACAACAATTTTTGATTGCCATTATCCTTATGAAGAAAAGCTTCGCGAGAACATAGAATAGGTTTATATTAACCGAAACATTCATAAACAGCAAAAACCAGAACTTGTTTAGACAAATGAAATTTTCTCATTTGTCCAATGTTTTTAAGACTTTTCATTCAGTTGCCTAATACTGATCCATACGTGGGTACAAATACATTTGAAATTTCGCTGTCGAGTTCTTAAGTAAAAGAACTTTTAGATTGGCATTTCTGGGCGACATAATGCTTTGAAATGCACAAAAATTAAACAAAGTAATTAATGAAGTACGATAAGGGTAAAAATATAACCATACTTGGGCATTCAGTGTAGGACCATCTTGATGCCGGGCAGGTTGAAGAGTTGGAGCTTTTCCAGACACTAACATCAGCAACTTCCATGCATTTTCCTATCCCAGTACCGCTTGCGTCATCGCACCATCCGCATGCGGGAAGTTTGAAGCAGTTGTGGCACGTTTTCTGGGCACTGCATACAACGTCTATGAATTAAATAATTGGTTTGGTTAGCGGAAAATAGAAAGAGAGATGAATAGTGGAAATACTACGAAAGAAAAACTACGGCATTCGATAGTTAAAGAATATTGGGATAAGCACGCATGAGTTAAATGCAAGGAAGGAATTATGCATGAGGGGATAAGATCGTGCATAAAAGACAGCACTGAGGTACTAAGGTTGATTACGAAAATTATTTCTTGAAGGAAGTATGTAGGGAAATAAAAAAGTTTGAGACACATATTCGAATTGAAACACTTGTTTTAAGTTACCTGTAGAGGAAAGTAGTTTTGGAAAAAGTGTGCAATTTAGATCTTGTTGGCGAAAGAATAAAAATAATACGAGATTCCGTGGTTTTCACATTCCGATGAAAGATTTCATAAGGAAGACAACAAAAGGAAGAATAACAGCGTCTTGAGCGTAGAAAATAGCAAGGTTTTTTTTAATTCTAACATGAGGCAAGATAAATATTTTAGTGTTAGATAGATGTTAAATAACAGCATAACCGCAAAATAACAGCAGCTGTTGATAAAATCAATGTTCAATCAAATACCAAGCAAAGCAAAACTGTAATCAAACATCATAACTGTTCCCATTTGTAAAATGATTTTTAACCCACACTCAACAACCAGAGAAAAACAGCCTGGGCAATCGTACTATAATCTTTTCTCAGTGACTCCCATACAGTAACTTTATAAGGGACGTATACCTGCAAGTATTGTCAAAACTTGCTTACAACTGGAAATCAATTCACCGTTCAAATGGAACTACCAATTCACCGTTCCCTACACCAAATCTTGGTCTGTGAATCCTAGTAATTAAGAACTGCTGTACTTGTTTTGCTGTATAGATTGGAGCACCGGAACGTGCATGAGGTCTTATATTGATTGTTGTTGAATTGGCGAATTAGTTTCAGCTCTCGCGATCTCATTTATTTTCATAAGACAGGTTCGTTGAAATGTCGATCAACTTAAAACATTTAAAAGGCTTTCAGGCTAAAGGGCAATCCTGTATAATTTATAACACATGGAACCAAAACTATAAATTAGACGAAAGGAAAACAAATTTGATGTTTGGACGGTGTCTCGAATCTATCAATTGTTGCACACTGAAAAGGAGTTCATCTTTTGATTCGATCAATGCCACCATAACATAATGTTTACTTCTGTAGCTAAGAGGAAGGGGTGTATTACAAGGAAAAAGATTTATTGAAATCTGGCCTCATGTTGATGAGATTACAGTATAAATTTAATTTTGAATGGGAAAATTGAAGAGAGATTTAGTAAGTATCTAGCGACGACGTTTAATTCTTTTCTCGATTAATTTCCCTTTCAGGCAATTTTATTTTAATAAGTCAACGGGACCGCCATGGAAAGGTCCCCAAGGCCTGGGATAAAAACAGACCCATTTCAACAAATGATATGAGAAAAATAAAATATACCAATCAAAGAGAAAATAATTATTACATCCTGGTTATTATTTTGCTGCCTTTCGTAGAAATAACATGTAAGTGTGTGATCGGTTATGAAGATAAGAATTTCTTAGTGAAATATAAGGAAATATTGCAGATTGTGGAGTCAGACAATTAGGTAAACAAGCAATAAAAAACTTAATATCCTAATCAATGCAGAGTTCAACCACGGGTGTTTAAAAACAAACAGCTTAGCCTCAAAAGGGAGCACTTTAGATGAGACCAGTATTCGCCAAACATGCGTAACAAGATTACACGATACGATCATAAAGCATCTGTCACTTCTCCTGCGTTGATTTCCTTTTTTGAAATTGCTTTCACTTTGTTTTGCAAGACATCAATTTTAGCTTCTTGATCACAAGACCAGCTTAGTGTTAACAAAGAAATGTGGTTCAAACACCGATTTTAAAGTAAACGAAGACCGAACAGATTTAAACATGTAATACAAAATAAATGTTTCAAAGGACTTTTCTGCCTGCATTGCGGAGATGCTACATGCATATACATGCCTCCTAAATGCTTTAAAACATTTCCAGTGAGGTAGCATCATTAATGTTTCTTCAAACATAAAGATACTTTATATTGAATGGAAAAAATCCCTTGCAATCCAGACGAAACTCAATCAATCCACATCAATGAGATTGACTAATAAAGAACGAACCAAATATGTCCGTCTTTATACTTAACAAATAATGAATCTTATGAAAATTGTTTTCAAGCTTCCTTCGAGAACAATGTCTAGCATTTGCGGTAAATTTTATTGCCAATGTGGCTGGCATTCTGATGTAAAAATCTAATAATTTTTGTGTTTACCTTCAGTAAAGCAATGTAAACTAATATATAGGTTTCACTGGTACAGATCAAGTCCTTCCAACAATGGTGGATAGATGCGCGATAATTTTGGAAACGGCGTCAGAATGACAAGTAATATAAATGATTCGGAAGGCTAGGTAGGTATGGCATGATGATATTGGAAGAACGGTCCTGCAATCTTGACATTCTTATCTTTACAGCTGCAATGCTCGTTAATAAGATAAAACTGTGACAGAATATTCCAACCTCTATAGAGCGGACATTTGACGTATCGAAAGTCTCTAGTACGAAGTGTCCGAAATATTGAGGTTACTTTTATACCATTTTGATGGCAGAGGAAGATAATGAGTTAAGAATATCGGAGAGTTAGCTTGAAGTGTTTCTTGGTTGGGGTGTCCGTTGAACTGAGTGTCCGTCGAACGGAGTGTCCGTTATGTTGGGCGATATTCGTAATTGAGGTTTTACTGAAATGTTGTAAAGCACAGCAACTATTCGGTTATATCGAAGATGTTCTTGAAAATGATGTCCAAAACTTCAAACATTAATAGACGAAATGAATGAGAAATTATTGGGGGAGATAAATGGAAATGCTTGAAAATACGTAACAACTAACGTAACTAGCAAATATAAGCTGGTAAAAGGTCAAAAACTTTGGTAAATTGATAAAATATTTGTTTTAAAGGAGGCAAAAGTTTAAAAGTTTCGATAGCAGGATAATACGTCCTAGAGCAAAGTTCAAGGCAAAAAAGCAGCAACACATAGATATGATGTTACATTGCAGCTATAAGACAATTTTTTATCTATAGGATGCCCATTTGCTTATGTTTACAACATGACATAGTTTCTTAGTTGACTTATGTTTATTAGTTTCAACAACTGACAGCTCCTTAAAGTAATCCCAAAAGAGCTACCCCAAGCTATTGATAGACCCCTCACACTTGAGCATGGCGAAGTATGAAAGTATAGTCAGCATCATTTAGGCCCTACGCGCACTGCATCTAGAAACCTGATAATGCCAATCCCTTATTGTTCTATCTTCAAAGACGGCAAGGGTTTGTCAGGAAGTAGCTTAATTGGTAGAGTGCGAACAGCAAAATCTGAAATCTGACAAATTGTAACGTTTCGATTAATTGGTCAAAGGTTCCATCATAGAGTTCTGGAGCATCACAATCGCGTGAAAATCTATGATAACCAGCGGGTAACTGCACGGACATGCCAGAATTATGTTAACTTATACGTAGGTTTTTGGATGTTGAAAAGCTTTGATTATTGAGTATTAAGCTCTCGGCCACATTGCGATTCCCATGCCTGGGTTCGTTCTTTACGGCAGTTCTATCATCATTGATGAGATCTGTCTAGACTACTGAAAACCCTTTCCTCAATACAAAAATAAGTAGTAAAACGACACTAGAGATTTTGACGGGATAAATATCAGTAAGTAGAGAGTAAATATCAAGAATCAATCGTAAATTCTAAGATCTGCTGGTCTTTCAGTGAGCTGAGTCAATCATAGCCTGTACGCTGGGAGCGCTAATGCGTTGGCTCTTGGACTACATAAAGGAAGGGGGTGAATCAGTTACCAGTCGTTTGTGTCTTCAACAAAATGAAGTAATCTAATGAAGGGACAAAGCAGCTGAAAAATAGAGGAAACAGCCTTACCAGAGCAGCCAGAATTGTTGATCCACTCCAAGCACTGGCCGTACGGGAAATTGACGACATAAGCTTCAGAATCGATGCAGAGGTTCTGTGATTGACACCACATGCAGCCGATGGTACTTGCAGCGGTGCAACTGGAGCAGGATTTGATTAAATGGCATTGCGATTCTGAAGGCATCTTTGGGTTGCATTTCAGTGAGGCATTGGTGCTTGTTTTCGTCTCTAGAGAGGCAAAATAGCACTTTTAGTCAAAAAAGGTTGCATAAACTCATTTTTCCTGATAGCAAAATATTCTGTGAAATATTAATAGCAACATTGTATGTCGTCGGCAATCGGGATAGGTATTTACATATTAGTTTTATGTTGCAGACAAAGAGCATATGCCTTGTTCAGAGTAACGCATTCAAACAGAAACAGGAAATGCAAAGAAAGAAATTTACATTCAAATTAGAAAAACACCAAAATATTTTCATTTGAAATCAATAGAAACAAGCTTCTTAATCTGCAAACATGCAACAAATGTAGCATGTCTGCTAGAAAATCAATCCAAATTTGTTTCACGCACCAGTTATTTTCAACGACCGAAGGAAAACATACGATACCTGCAAATTTACAACTGCCACGGGAATTCCTATAATCCCAGGAACAATTGCGATGCTGTTCGCAGCTGTAGCATGTTGACAGCGAGGCACAGGTAAACTTGATAGAGGCTGGGCAAAAATTGACGTCAGTAACAGCATTCACCTAGAAAAGTATTTTAGAATTTCTCAGTTGAAAAAGCACTGGCAAAACAGAATTTCGTTTTTTGATCAATATTTTAATATTTGAATCGTGATAACAATGGCGAAGCCAGCCAGATGCTCTTAAGTTCTACAGAGGCAAATCAAGGGCTTTTAAAAGAGTTTAAAATGCCTCAAGAACCTATCTACCAAAAGAATAATAGGGGAAGGGGGCAGAAACTCTTATTTAGACGCAGAATAAAAAATACTGCATAACGTCTATGCTGGTTGTGTAGAGACATTCCTCGTCATTTATTAAAGTATGATTTTGCAAAATTGCCTCGCAAAAGGTACACGCTAGTAAAAACACTTTGCATTCTTTTAGAGAAACTCACAAAGTCTATCACTCCCTGCCTTAATTATACGGGTTTTTACCCAGAGATGAACAAAAATCGTGGTACACGCATTTTTTATAAGGAACAGGTTATAAGAAACCGTAGGCTCAATTTTTCGAAAGTAAAGAAACGACCCAAATTGAAAAAGCTACTTGATCACTTTGTTAGTTGATCTCTGAATGTGAGTGAACTATTAACTTTACCTTTGAAGCACGTTTAAAAAATACATTACCTAAGAAAGATATAAGAAACTTTTTATAGCAAAATGGCCAGAGAGTTTAAGCCTATCAGCACCGGACCTTAGTTTTTTATAAAAAAATATGTGTATGCTAAAAAACAACTTGCATCGATTCAAGAATCGCATATGATGTTTATTCAGTCGAGCAAACAATCCCACGCGTGGAATAAAAAAGAGCCTGAGAATATTTCATTTGATAATGAAAGATATATTTATTTTACATTAAGAGTCCGGCAATGCTGTTGAAACGTCAAAGCCCCAGTTGCCAATTGGTCATTTTTCAAGTACAGAATTAAAAAAGTCTTTGAACATGCTACAAAACTAAAAGAACAAACAGCAAACAGTTTAAGTGTTCAGAAGAGAGAGGGAGCTGTTTTGAAGCAAATAGCCAACAATGGGATAAAAACTTTTGGTTGTTCAGAAGGGAAACACAAAGACGGGGTGGCTACCTTAGAATCAGAGCCACAACTGACATCGCCGCAAGCGTTGTCACACCAGGCACAACTGGCTGTATTTGAAAGACATGTCTTGCACGTTCTGAAAGATTTGCACTGTAATACTGTTGCTAAAACATAATAAAAAGATATTGGTGAATTAAAAACAGCGGCTAATCTCTTAAATAACAGAACGTTTGGAGGTCGCGGGCCACGAAGCAAACTCGCTTCCTAGTGAAAGAAACCTTGTCGTCTGTTGTGACACGCTTTCACAAAGGACATCTAAAAATACTTGACAAGCCAAGTAATAATATTTCAACGGTTGCCAGATTTCCGGGTAACGTGTTTGGCTGGCTAGCTGAAACAAATGCTTTAGAACGGTGTCTACCCTCGGCATCAAAAGATTAGCTGACTTACAAATTAACAAAAGATGGATAGGTTGGATATCGAAGGCGTCTTTAAGAAGATCAGCAAATAAAGGTCGCAAATAAAGTAACATCCAACGTAAGAATAGACATGCACCTAGTTTGGTCATGCTTTTATGTTTAGAGCATTGTCTAACAGTCTGCGTTGTAAGCCGTAATTAAGTAGCGACTTTTCCAATCAAAAACGGCATCCGGTATGGGACCTTAGGTTGTGACGATATCAAGTCGCTTTTCTCGGGCAATCTTTATTTTCAATAGAAAACATCATGGCTGCTAACACAAAGATTTAGGCCGATATTAACCTATCTATACAAAACATTTCTTCAAAGCCTAGTTCAAACAATTTCCTAACAACTGCCATGTTCTTTACTGCGTGTTCCTTACTGCTGACAATTGAAGTACTTACAATTGCACTGAGGAGCTTCAATCTGTGGGCTTGGCAAAACTGCAGAGTCTTCTGCCTTGAGGCAACGAAGTGAAGCCTTGTCCCAAACACAATTACTCACAAATGGAGCTTCTAAGCAGCTTGTTTTTGTGGCAAAACCGGAACACTCTCCTACAAAAATCAAATTGAAAATCTTGGATTTACAAAAATCGGAATGACTTGGATTTGACTTCCATTTTCACTGTATATATCACATATTGATGCCTTGTATCATATTTTCAATATACATAAACTGAATTGAGTTAAATTAGAGACCTGTCTGTCACTTTAAAGCTCAAATCTTCATAAAAATTTAGTAGCCTTCATATTCACTTCCGAATTTTACAACAGTCCTCAAGCATACAGCCTAAGGGCGTGATCTGGTACACGTCTAGCGTGATCAGCTAATAAAAAGCTGATTTCTATCTAAAGGACTTCTTAAAAGTACTCATTTTTCTTTACAGCTTCCGAAAAAGCCAACAACAAAATCCGAAGGTATATTCATTGTTGAGACGAGAAAAGTTTCACTGGTGCTAGGATCATTGAAAAAACATAAGTTTGGTCAACTATTTGGATAATTTTGGATAGGTATATAAATATTGGTTTGTTTTGCTATATATGCTAAACCCGAGTTTTGTCACTGCGAATTGGCTCGGACAGGTCTATTCCAGTGCGAACAGTTGCTAGAAGCGTTTAAATTCATCTAGAAGGGTTTACTTAGAACTGAAAATGCACTGGCTTTAACTGAAGCAATGAAGCAAAAAAAAAACAAAATTTTACCAATTGCTATCGCCATCAAGTCATTTCGCGGAACTCCGTCAAAACCACCAAAAACATACATTTTCCTAAGGACAAAAAGAGACGACTGTGAATATGAAGTCACATGCAAAGGTAAAACAGTACCCTATCCCTAAAGTTTTGTCTTGTAAACCAAAAGGTTTTGTCTTTTAAAGGCTCTTTATAAAAAATGACCTTGTAACTTGTAAATTTCCATTTTATCTCACACCCACCTCCACCTTCATCTTTCTTTATTGTCATATGTAAGTCGGAATCTATCAATTTTGTTCAAATTAATCAAGTCCATTTCACAATAATTGCCTTTGTCATTCCATGACAAAGTTTCAGCAACACTTAACGGGCAAATATTCAAATTTTTCAAGAAATATCTTTAATATGAGAAAAAGAAATAAATTAGATCAAAATATAGTTGAACATTTCATTCAAGCGTCTGAAAAAAGGATGGGCGGATGCCCATCTTTGACTTCCCCCTCATCTCATCCCCTTGAACCCCCTTTCTGGACCCCATAGCGTTACCATCATCTACATAGCCGTCACTGGTGCATCAACCTAGTCGGCGTTGAAAGGGTGCTTATCATAGTCATTATCAGAAACAAAATCAACACACCTTTCATGTGAAACAGCAGTTTGGCCAAATCTTCCTTTTTGCTCAAACAAGTCTTTTGAATCAATTTTAGTCCAAGATTTGCAATCTGTAGAAAATTGTCACTCGTCTCAATAAAGGCTTCACGAATATTTGAAATATACAATATAATGACAAAGTATGGAGCTGTACCAATTGATAAATCTTTTGCTTTGAGGTGGTAACAGAAACACAAAGAATAAGTGTGAAAAAACAGGTGTAAATACTAAAGCAGATTGAAGCAAAAATGAACTTCTACTTGATACCTGGAAACGAAATTTCCTAACCAAAATTAGGACTGATTGTGATAGCCTGTTTGTTAAGTCCTTTAAATACAAGTTGCTAGATATAGATAAATAGCAAGTAAAAAAATAACACACTTACCAATGTTATAGACTAAAACGTCATTTGAGTAGCATTTTTTCTCATGTTCCTTTATATTTTCGTGGTGGTGATTAGTTCCTCCATACACAATCATCATCCTTCCAACAATTACAGATGAATGGAGCATCCGTGGCCTGTTTGAGCTTGGTAACACCGTCCTAATAAAGAAACAGCATCAAGAAATGTAGTCAGTGGGAGTAGGAGTTTTACAAAGGGCATAGCAACTCTCTCTTATATGTGAATTACCACCTTAATTCAAGGCAATACTGATTAACCGAAACTGTCAAAGATACTTGAACAAGGGATTGCTACGTTTATGCTGAAAATCGGACTGGCTTCCCATTGTACCAACTTTTTGTCCCTATCTTAATTTTCCTGGCTACAATACTTTTTGAAGACCATTAGAAAGCTTAAGATTTGTTAAACATAATGTCGAGCATATCAGGTTCATTTGTAAAAAAAACAAGTGACAAAGGGCAATATTATATTGTTGATTTGTTCCTGAAGACGTAAATATTTACTTATAGCCGTATGAAAGAAAATATAACTGCAAGTAACGGGCTAAATCTGATACAATAGCAGCAGACGATGGGTTTTCAACCCATTCACATACCAAGTTTTCTTTGATGGACTGAAGGAGAAAAGAGCACTTGAAACCTTCTTCTTCGTTTCTACCGAATCAACCAGGAGTGAAAAACCTCCGTGTACAAAGATAAGGCCGGAACTTTGATCATAAACAGCACTGTGCCCGAATGTGCCAGTCACTAAGGCACCATTTGTGGTGACGATCTTCCATTCTAAAGTATCTGTAAGGCAAAATTAAATCATCATAGACAAGGGACACAGCAGAAAATTATATAAAGTCTAGCAAATCAAAAATAATGGCGGATAGGCCCAAATGATCAGTTGCTTCGTTTAATGGTTCACACTTACCTAAGTCAAGTTGCTGCACATTCTGGTAGAAACTTTTTTCGGATGAATAGCCCATGAAGACATACATCTGATTAACAACAACAACAGCAGCATGTCCGGTCACTCCAACTGGTGTTGCTCCACTTACGGTCAACATTTTCCAAGTTTTCTTCAAAGTATCAAACTCCCATAGTTCATTAGTGATGGCCTTATCTTTGATTCCACCAAAAATGTATAGTTTTTTCTAAAAAAAAACAGGAAAATCATTGTTACTAAGTGTCATGACTAAGGAATAATTCTTGTTTACCAAAAGGATCTCCTCTTAATTGCGTAAAATAAGGCATAAACTTCACAACAGTACTTAATAAGTTAGATATGTTATTGCATGTCATAAAGTTAGTCTTTATATCCATTTGAAACTGCACACTTTTTAAAAGATGAATCACCCAATAGACATATTCCTCATCAAAAATATTGAAATTGAGGTAAATTTTTCATCATTCATTGAAATCCTTAAACAAAATTTGATGTATGGGCCTTTGAGTGAAAGATCTCTGCAGTAATAGTTCGTGAGATTTCAGTACTTACAAGATAACTTACTAAGAATTAACAACAACTATCCGATGTAAATATAAAAAACGGATACAACTTCAGGTTAGTGTTTCTTGTAACTTACATTATAAATGACTAAAGAGTGGCCAAATCTGCCTTTCGGAATGGGTTTTGCATCTTGGACGCTCCATTTCGAAGAGATGATGTCATAGCTGCAAAATTTGAGAGAAGGTATATACCTTAAGAAATTAAAGTTTTAATTAAAAATGTATGATATTGTCTGACGACATTTTTTTTAATTGGAATGGGAAAAACAACGAAAACAATTAAGTTTCTAACAGCTTTGATAACATCGCTCGTTATCAGTGGCCCTTTTAAGGTGGTAGAAAGATTATAGAAAAGATATGAAGTCATTAAGCGGCTTTAAAACGTGTCTTGTAAATAACTCTATCCTTTACCGACTGCCTGACGACACATACTCAAGGCAGAAAACCCTTTCATTCAGTTCATATATTGCTATCATTTCATTTTGCTCAGTCATAAAAGGCTTTCAAGATTACAAAGAGAATGGTTCAATCATTTCAATATCGCAATATCGCATTTTAGCTTTATTTCCAAACATACATCAATAATTCATACAAATAAAATAAGACCCCTTTGAAAAAACTTTCAGATCTCTTGATCGAGTGCACACACTAAAATTATCGATGATCTTACTGGCGCACCCAAGTATTCGATTTATTTGAAATGCAAGAGTTTCCTTTTTTGTACTTTACAGTTCTTTCAAAACAGCAATGCCTTGTAAGTACAATCCGAAACTGGAACACAGTTTATTAAGGAGCATACTCAATTTCTTGCCTTTAAAACTATTCTGATCTTGAAAGCCTTATTCGTACATTTACGAAGTTTGAACAAAACTATTCGTATAAAACTATGATACAAGGTTCCTTCCCAGCTTTCTCAAATTTCCCATTGTTTTAGAACAGAAGACCATTCTCATCTAAAGTAATGGGGGGCTGCCCCCAGGTGTCCGCCACTGAGACCAACTCCTGTTACCCCACAAAGCTTGCCAAAATCATTCTAATACTTCTTAATGGAAAGCTCCTAACAACCAGATAACCGACAAAAACTACAATTCCAGATACGATATCAATCTTATGAACTCCCAAATCGCATCTGAATGCGTTGCTATGGTGCTGTCTGTGACTCTGTTCAAACTAAATTGATCCAATGAAATAAGGCTGGGAAAGCTACAAAGTAGCTAAAAATCTTTCACTCTTTGATAATACACATATTGTCTTGAAAACATTTGAAAATTGTGTTCGAGAGTAAGTGAAATCCATCTTCTAATACAGGGTCCAGTTAATTTTCAGTCTGCATATGCTGGACACACACATCATAATATAATTATGCATTGAGTTCGGTACATGACAAGTTCGACGCTTGAAACCGTGCCGTGCTGGAGTCGTGCAGCTCGGCAAGCTCTGCCGATCCAAACTAGTCTGCCGCTCCTAACTCAATCTGCCGTACCAAATTGATTCAAACGTCGCACCCCTCATGTACTTGATTCTCGAGTTAGGTTCGGCACATGAGAAGCGCGACGTTTGAACCAGGCCTAAGTAAAATCCATCTACTAATACAGGGTCCAGTTAATTTTCAGACACATCCACATCCACATTTGGCTTTCCAGCCAGCTCTTAGGTTACATAACTTAGGCTATAGTTCTTGTAGAACTCTTGATTAGTGCTTCATATCAAGTTTTATGCGCATTAACTATTACTTGATTATCTAGCTACAAGATTAAAGACTCTTGCGCAAAGGCATGCTTAGCAGCAGAGCAGCAGTTGTCTTGGGAAATTGACTGTGTTTTGTATTTTTATGCAGTGCGATTTTAGTAGGCCGGGTCTTTTGAGTTATAGTGGCAAAGCGTGCCGGATGCGCAAGAACCTTTTAGTACTTTTTGCCAGTCTGGCGGTAAATTGATCTGCTAGTAACACAAATTGCTTGTCGTTAGCTCTTTATCTTTTAGCAATTTACTTCAAAAGTTGTACAAATCTTCCTATAAGACAAAAAATCAGACAAAAAAGATTAGTCTTTATACTAAGCTTAGTGTTTATGCTAACAATACATACTTGATGACATCACCACTGCTTCCATCGAAATTGAAACCTCCATACACCCAAATGACACCATTGTCAATAGCCGACGCGTGGGATGCCCTAGGTGCAACTAAAGAAAAGGGAACCAATCAGATCTCTACAATAGAAAGGACTATGGCGCATCTGTAACAGGTAGGGATGAGCAGTTAAAACTTAGATAAGGGAAGAGCAGTTAAAACTTAGATAAAAACTGACAGAAAATCAACGACGGCTCAAAATATTTTGGTAATATTGATCTGAAGTTAGCAGTGTAAAAAAATTGAATTAGGTGCGTCGGTGAGGTCGAGTTGTACAATTGCATGCGGTTAAGAAAGAAATGATGCAACTATTTATGTCCTTCAATAAAAACTTTAGCGTGAATCGCGACAGTAGAGGGCAAACCTACTCGTAGGTGGGTAGGATACGTTCAAAGATGTTTTTACTTTTCAGAGTTGTACAGATATTTATATATCTACCTGAACTAAACACTGTATTCGTGTTGAGGATAACAATATGGAAATAGAACAAAATATTTTTGTGATCGATACAACTAGAACCATTTCTCTATCGCGTAATACAAGTGCATTAAAACTTCGAATGTGGGGGGGGGAGCTGAAAAAAGAAGTCAGCTATAGAAGGCCCTGTGAAAAATGGAAGGATATTAAAAGTCTGGCTTTTCTTTTTGCGCTTTAAGAGTGTCTCCCCCTGCTTTGTTGCCGAAGGCATAATCATGGGGGTAGTGAATGGAAAATGTTAAGGGGGCTTAGTAAGGATCTTACCGTGACATGATTGCCTCATTGGGACAGAAATGCCCGAATGGAGCCAAATGAGACAAATAATGCCTGAACAGGGATTCTGCAGCCACCCCAGCCCCTGTATCTCCTACGCCTTTAGGTATGACAATAGCTTTCTATTTGTTTGTCCCTAGAAGCATGAAAGTGTAAACATACCAATCATTGGACATGCAGCTCCAGTTAAAAGATTTGGGCAGTTCCTGGAGGTTGTCGAAATATTAAACACTTCATTGGGGCAGCATTGCCGAATTGAACAGTTTGCTCCAGTCCAGCCGGGTTCACACTCACAAATCGAAGATATATTGCAGTAGCCATGCCCCGAACATGTATTATTTGTACAGTTACTGATTCTATGAATAAAAAAAATACGACTAAATCATACAAACTTGCTTTGAAATGAAGAAAACACTAAATAACCTTATTGCATGCAAATATTCTACGTAATTTCTGACCAAAGAGAAATTTTGGCTAACAAAATTTGAACTGAATAAGATTAGGCCACCTTCTTCGAAATCGGGACGTGCTATGCAAGGCTAGTTTAACGTATAAACACGGACGCGACATTGTTGACAGAGCAACTAAGGGTAGAAATTCACAATGACAATGTTTTTTACTTCAATAAAGTGAATAGATTTCAGTGATAATTATTGTTTTCTCAATTAACACGAGACGAAAAAACACAAGATGAAAAACTCCAAATGAAAATAAACAAGTAAGGTTTTGTTCTTGAGATTAACACGTATCTAAACGAAGGCCTTATCGTGGTTTACCAAAAGATTAGATTGTTTGCAAATACAAAGTTCTGGGCAATAGAAAACGACCTATGAATATGACTGAGCACTGTGAGAAATATGAATTTTCCAATACAAAACCTAATTTTAAATCCAGATAAAGCTAAACAGACATAAGCCTGCGATTAGAATTTGATAAATTGAATGCATTTAAAAACAGAGAGATTATGATAAGGTAGTTTTCCTGTAATAAATGAAGAAAATTTACGTTTCCAGGGCTTTCGTTCGCTGTTAACTGAGGCCAGACAGTCTCTGACAATAGCGCTGCTGCTGGTTTACAGTTTCATGCATATCCATAAGAAAGCCTTTGCTTTAAAACTTTATTACACAGAATGCACGCAGAGAGGATTAAGCTTAGTTTTTTGTCTTAAACGATCGACATGCATCGTTTCTTTGCTGCTTCGACTGGCAGGAAACAGTTAAATTAAATGAATGCAAGCATTGATGAACTGAGAACTTCATAAGGGCAAAAATGCATGCACGTGGTGAAGAATATAAACCTTATGGTCTGGAAAACTAGTAACCTAGTGCAAATATTTACTCAAAAATTTTTGAACAGGTATCAGTCACAGCTTTAGCCAAAGCGCTGTTGGACAGGAATGCATTCCAGTGGCTAAATGATTCAATTTCTAAAAATCTCTGCTTGCAATGCAATAAATCGATTTTATAATTTCCAAGTGATCAGTTTCCTTCCTAAACGAAACTTGGAAATTTTGTCTGCTGGTTAGATCGAAATGTGCGAAGACCACCCCTAATTTGCCTTTCAAGCAGCCACTTGTTAATGCTAGCAGACTCCTGTCTATTTGAAGGGAATATCAAATAATTTAAAAAAAATTATAACAGCCAAGCATTTTAGAATTTAATTTCAATTATCCGTTTCCATCTCAACTGGAAAAACATGATTATCAAAGACAGATTCTGCAAGCAAAACACAGTCTTTCTATAAAGAATTCCCATGTTTTTATTCTTAAGTAGATAGAAATAAAATAATATATACATAACATTTATAAACATACACCTAGCTAAAGCAAACAAACCTGTATGTTAGATTGAATCCTTCTTCGTTCAAATGTTTGTCACTATAAAAATGTACCATGACATTGCCAGATTTGGCAATCACTTTTCTTTTTGATGGCTTAATAGTACCACTAGAATGAGAAAAAAACATTGAAATATTATGATATGGAGCAATAACAGATGCTTGTATAACTTAACAAGTTAGTTGCAGATACTTAAAAGATAAACATATGCTACTGCAGAATCAACAAGAAAAACCTCACCCATTTTTACATTTATGTTTAATCATTAATGGTAAAAGCTATATTTGCAAGTTTGATACAGTTAATGAGAGATGCACTTTTACTAAGTGTGCTGGTAAGAAGTACCAGTTGAAAAATTATAAAACAGCGTTTTTTCTTGAATCTTGATACCAGTGACATAGCCTGGCCTTCCAGACAATGGGGATGGATGGGTATCATGAGGACATAGATGAAGAAAAAATTAGGCGCTACTTCATATATCCACAAACTTTTTTACAAATAAACTAAGGATTTTGTGGACCAACTGAAGATCAACTGTCACACCCCTGCTAGCTTCACTTCTGCTTGTACCATTATTTGAATATTTACATGGATCAAAACCTCATCCCTCTCTCCTTAGCTAAATAATTATAACTTTACTATTAAAATGTATAGACTACATTTTTTGTGTCAGGAAGTGGTTGGAGAGGTTTGACTACAAAGTCTTTTGGCAAATGTTGCAACATCTGTTATCCAGGACTGTGAGATTAGTATTAAATTTTCATTAAGTAGATATCTGTATTAATCATATGCGCATAGAAGTGAAGTAATGAAATGATTAGAGCTTTTTGCTGCAGTGCAGAATGTTGCTGATTCAGAAATTTGGTCTCACAACAGAAATTTGGCAGTCAGCACAACACAAAAGGCAACATGAAGAGAGGCTAAAGGAAACTAGTTACCCTACCTTATGATGCTACAGGTTCAGACTCTGTCCTATTTAACTGATATTTACCTTGCCTATTGATTTTATATGGGACTGGATTTCACAATCACCTTACATCTATGGATACCAGTTCTTAATACTGAATGTTCCAATTTGCTATAGAATGCTTGTTGTTAGACAAGGCTGTGAAAACTCAAGTTCGACATTAGGGCAATGTGGACATAGTGCAAACAAGAGCAAATGCAGTCATCAGACAATCGCCACCATCATTTCTCTAAGGCTTTGTTTTACTTTGAAGCTGTCTAGATCTAGAGTTTGGACCAATGTTTACTTATTTCACACTTCAAAATTGATGCCTTTGAATAATTTATAAATTTGTTCAAATTTGTTCAAGTATTTCTTAACCTCTTGTTTAAGCTTGACAGTGTATCAATATCACTATGCAATAAAGATACAATTCAACAAAAGCCTGTCTCCAGGGTGATCATTGAATCCACAATGTAGCTAGAAAAATCACAAATCACCTCAAAGCTGCTACAAGAGGGTCAAAAATTGTCCACCCATCGTAAATATAAACATGATCCCATGAACATTCTGTAGCAAATGATTCCACATCAATTGATATGTTGTATTTTTCCTGCAATTACGAGAAATGCACTTTTCACAATAGTAGATTATCATCAGGTGCTAAAACAAGACCACAAATCCCATCTTATTGCCCAAGACATGTGAAAATAATATTGACTAAAATATTCAACAAACTTAAGAATATTTAAATCATCATTCCTGTTTATGAGGATTAAGACTCACAAATAGAGACTTTACAGAGGGGTCTCACAGAGCTTTTGCAAAGATAAGTCATATGAAGATCATTAGAGTAAGTAAGATTATATCAACATCCCTTATATACCTTTAATGTTTAAATAAAAAAGTTAATTAGCCAAATAAATCTCATACCTCTTGCTATCAATGAACCATGATATTTTGGAATTTGAAATATAAGGACCGACAAAGTCAGTCATAAAGCCAGTCTGTTTTTCCAACCTAAAATGTAAAGCCACTTTCATGAGTTTAAACACCAAGAATTTTGGCTTATTAAGGAGCATAATATTACTATGGCAACTTACAAAAGAGAAGCTGTAGTAGGGTTCTAGATTCCTTTCTTTTCACTTACAACAAATATCCATGGCCTGATTTGTTGTCAGCTGGTTGAGAATCCTGACCATAAGGCTAGAAACCTTCAGAGCTAATAATTTTAATCATTACAGCAACTATATATTCTGGCTTAACAAATAAACATGAAGTCAAAAAACCGAAATGAGAAAAGGCCCGTCGGGACCAGGGGGGCTGGGAGGGCTGGAGCCCCCTCAATAATTGCCTTACTGTAGTATATATGTTTCCTTTATAACAGTTTACTGAACAAGAAAGAAAACAATGGGCAGCCCCCCCAATGTGAATTTTATTCCGATGGCACCGGAAAACATTTAGACTTTTTAGAGACTTACCATTTGGAGCATTAGTTAGTAAAATGCTGACTAGGTGTTTACAGGAAATCAATAATGTCTAGGAAATCATACTTCAAATTTGTTTATATTCACCGTTCCAGGTTGGTATCATTGATTCTGCATCTAACTATCTTAAGAAGTTTCTCAAAAATAGACTTCAGGTTTGAAAACTTCATCTTGACATTAAATTATATTTTGAACTTTGTGTAGTTTAGACTGTTCGGTCGCAAGTTACTTTGTTTTGAATTTTTATATATTTCTTTAGATTTGACCAGAGTTTGCTGCTGTAGTGAAAAAATTTCACTATACATCAACAAATTCCATTGAAATGCATAGGAAAAGCAAAAATTTTGAAAATGGGGTAATTCGCAGCCTGACGGCCCAAACAACATGAAATTTTCATCACAGACTAATTCAAACATGAAGATTCCGCTTCTGTGATTCATTTTTGACATACACGATGATAAAAAATTGCCCAGAACATAGAATATTTATTCATTATTAAGGATTAATAAACTTATATATATATATATACATATGTTTCAAGAAAAACACTCTCATGTAAATGTTTCGACCGAAGTCTTCACCAGTCTTCATCCCTCAATTTTGCTTTTACTTTACTAATTTTTTAATTTTATATATATATATATATATACATATAAAACAAATTCTGAAGATATAAAACAAATTCTGAAGTTTGGTAAAAAAATTAGTTAGGTAAAAGCAAAATTGGGGGAATCAAATGTAGAAGTAAGCTACCTAAGCCTACGCCAAAGCCAAATACAGTATAATCCGGTTATGACGTACTTTAAGGCCCAGTGTATTAAGTACATTATATCCAAAGTACGTTGTAACGAGGGTAAGTAAAAATTGACTAAAACCAAGCACATCTTTTGCCGGGACCAAGCACGTATCTGAAAGTACGTAATAACCGAGTATGTTATAACGGGATTCTACTGTAGGCCAAATTTATTTGGTTTTTCAAAATCTTTAAATATATAGTAAATTTGGTAAAGGAATAAAACCATTATATATATATTTTTTTCAAAAAAGATATGCAGCCGGCCCAGAAAAAACCTGATGGCTTGGATCTTTTAAGGTAGTTTGTCACTGATTATGTAAAATGATGCTTTAACATTAAAACCTCAGCCACTTCCACAAAAAAACACTTTGTACCTTACGCTGCTCAAAGTCCAGAATCAGGCAACTTATATCATCTCTGGGAAAACTGTTGTTGTTCAAATTCTTTGAACTTATTGTGTTAGTTAGAGCTTGAGTTTTGAGGAAAGCTTTTGTAAGAAAGACCTTAACTTCAGACTTGGATTTTCAGTGCGTCAATAGTAGAAAAATCTTAAAAAGGGGGTGATTTTCAATTTATCATAAATTTAGAGAAACTTAATACCAGGCACAACACCTGATAATTCGAAGATAATAAATTTTCGATTTTCCTTATTACAGATAGGAATATTTGCTAAATTCAAATTCTAATACCCTGTAATCACAATATTTGACAAGACTTTTAAAAGATTTAAGTATGATATTTGACCTTAATAGCTGCTTTATTGATGTTGAGCATGAAAACACTTTTTCAGAATTTGATAAGATAACAGCGAGACACCCAGAGAGTCTTCGAAATGCAACAAACGATCTCAAAGCAAACAACGAAATGGCAGTAAAATTGACATAGGTAATAATCACTCATTAAGCGTACCTAATTCTTTCTTCACTTGAAAACCATAAAAGTTATCCTCATTATGAACAGGAGTATCCCGTCTCCTTTTACATAAAACTACCTTTTATGACGTACTGGCCTAAGTCAGCACGATAAAGGAAAACAAAAACTTCAGTTGGGAAACACAAATTTGGGCAACTTATGACTCTATCAAACTTTGAAGTTGCCTTCCATATTATAAAACATAGTAGGTAATGTCTTTCTCTGTGTTTCTGTCAATATATTTATAGACATTAACAAGAATTTTCACAGAGGCACTTACCGTGTCCTTCCGTACTGGCATTTCTTTCCCCAGAAGCCCGACGGGCAAGCGCACTGGTTATCGACACATTGCCCTGGCCTACATTCCTCACAGCTGTACACAAGTGGTATAAAAAAACAACATTGAAGCAGCACAATTGTAAATTGTAATTCCATCACATCAAATCATAGTTTTTGTCCAGAAAGGGAACAAGGCCTTTCACTTTCCCGTAACTACTATGGCGTTTGGACTCCATCCAGGCGACATGAACAAAGCTTTGGTTGCTTTGAAAGGGAAGAACCAGATGCTTCATGTAAACAGACACAGCATCAAGAGGCTCCTTGGCAGGGTCCATGCATCAACGTTGCAATGTATGTATTGTATGTAGATATATATCAGATACTACCAAACCAACAGCTTTAAATACACAAAATTTGAATAGCTGGGGGAGGGGGGGGTGTTCGGGGTTGGAATGCAAAAACCATGGTCACTGCCATTTGGTAATCCCTCTGATACCTCTTTATGGTTCTCTGTGCCAAAGCTTGTCAAAATTTAATTTTAGGGAGAGAAAAAAATATAGAGAACAAATTATCACTTGTCTATGATACAAACTTCCCTAGCCATTATAATTTTCTATGTCCCTGTAATAAATCCATTGCTTTTACACCCAATACGTGAAAAATATGAAATGCGGATGATACTTTCTATCATGCTACAACTACATTTCAGAATCCCGTTAAGAACCCAAAAACTTTGCATCTACCAATCCGTAACAATTAAGTATATTGTTTAAGACTGCCAAAGAGATGTAAACCTTGAACATTGAAACCTCCAAACTGAGAGAAAATCTAAAAAAACTGAAATATTTTTACCCTATATAAGTAATAGTAAAACTATCAAATTGCAAGTTTGTGGAAATTGAAAGAGATCATAACAGTGGCATAGTATATACCTCCCTACACTCCCTTGGCTACGAAAATGCGAAACATCCACAGCTTCTAAAGAACATAGAAACTTGAGATAATTCTAACTGACAAGCATTCTCATCCAACCCTCATGTTGACTTAACGATCGATTAATATCAATAAATTTATTTCTTGCATTGACGACTCCCTTCCATGTTTTTCTGAACGCTTATTTGAAAAAGAAAACAGCATATTTTGGAAGTTTCTTTCCTGCAGTGTCGTTTAAACCTGAAGAAAATCCGTTTTGTACTTTTTATCTGCAGAAAATTGAACATCTGTTCCAGGGGGTTATGCAAAGGTAGTGACTTCGAGGGGTAAATTCGTCCTCTTTTTTCAATAAGAACGAAAGTTTGACCTTTATTGAGAGAAAAGTTCATCCCCATTTCTAATAAGAACGAAATTTCTTCCCTTTTTTTCTCCCTATATAAGAGATACTAAGGCCATGCAACACGTACAACGCCACGTGTCAGTCAGTAGTAAGCAAGCAAACAAAACATAATGATAACGATACCAAATGATAACAGAGCAGATTTTAAAAAACACTTCTCCTATCAGCAATGCCTGCATGCTTTTTCAACCTGCTCAATTGACAAATACTTTTAGCTGGTACCGAAAAACTGCAGCCATTTCAGCCGAAGGTGATGCAGTCAGTTAATCATACGCAAAAATGCGCTGTATATTAAGTAACATCTGCATTCAGATTGCACTTATGCAGAGCTGTATTGTCTAAAATCTGAAACACTTCTGGAATAATGTTTTCAATTTCACAGGCATCAGTGATGGCAAGTTAGGTACAAGGTTATACTGGGTATTGTCGTAAATAGAAAATAAACATGATAATTCATTTATGGTAGGAAACCAGATTCCTTTAGGTGCTTCACATCCATGAAAGGCCTCGGAGAAATTAGCGTACCCTTCTTGGTTGCTCAACTAGTACATTGAAACTGAAATCAGAAATTGAAAGTAAAATGCACTGGGAACCGTCCTGTTCAACGAATGTACATTCCTTGCAGTGTGCTGGGAAGATCTGCATTTTCCGACCGCACCCGCGCCATTACTTTTAAAAGCTCCATGATAATAGTAACCAAAGTTAAGGATTTTACCAGAAAGTTTGTAGAAAAAAGCGACTTTTGCCAATCTTTTCGTGAGGTGGTCTTAAAATTTTTTCGTGAAGTGTAGCTCCAGCCTCTCCGCTCTGTTCCGGTCAGACATTTATCTGGATCGCGTTTCAAACGCGCCAGAATTCGCTGCACCAAAATCAAGGTGGCTACGCATGCAATATATTGTGTACAGCTCTACCTAAACGGCATCAAACACTATAGGATAGACTGGTAAACTGTAAACATTTTCATGACAATAATGAGATATGATGTAAAATTAGTAAACATGAAAATCTTACTACAATACTTTAAAATAGCGTGCCTAAACGTTCCCATAAACTCCATTATTTTCTAATTGCAAAACCAAATTCAAATTCGATAGGGAAGTTTGTGTCATAAACTCTATTCATCGTGATCATTACAAGGGTTTAGAGCAGGGCGGTTCAGCACCCCTTTGTCATTTCCAATTCTTGCTGCTTTTAAGAATTTTCTGGGAGGTTTTCCTTATTTTTTATAGTACCACACCCCTGTACTGACCCATCAGTAAATTGTAACACCCAGAGCCCCCTCTTTCCTCCATGGGCTTTGGCAACAGAATAAAATATGAAAGTAACAATAAAATTTCATTCTGGGATGGGATGCTCAGCAATCATTTAGTCCGGACCGGATCCTATTCTAAACCCATTCTCACTGCATGTTAATTATATTCTTAGCAGCTTACCTAGGGTAAAATTACCTTCTCTTCTCAAAAATCGATGTCTCCAGCACTACGAGCTAAACTTGATCGTTGTTTACCGACTTCTCTTCAAGATAGTCAAAAAAGAAGCTTCTCGCCTCTTATCTGGACCTTGCGGAGATATTTATCATTTTGTAAGAAGGGGTTGCCACGGCATTAAAAGCTGGTTCAAAGCCCCAGTTTAATGAAGCAGCAACAGTTATAATTCAGCATTTGCAACAAGGTCACTACGATGCATTGCAAGATATTCTCGATACAAGAGCACAGAAAAACAAGATGCTTTTTTCATGATCCATGTAAGAATGGTTGAACGGCTACTAACCTTTGTTTATACTACAAGAAATTGGCGACTTTACTTGGAAAGTGGCAAAGACTATGCAAAGATTTTTGTTCAATGGATAGAATAAAGTATCGACGATTGTGGCCCGTTTACATTGCTAATATGCTTTCTTTAGAGAAAGTAGAGCTATCGATCTGGAAAGAGTTCACGTGTGGCAATTTTTGCGTTCAGGAAAACCCAATCCCCTACACTGCAATAGGCTGTGATCATGCAGGGGAGCAGATCAACAAGATTTTAAAGATCGAGGGGGAATTGTGGGGATATCAAACAACCCTAATGCGAGAATGAAGTTTTTCCTAACAGCTCCAATTCTTGCTAAATTATCTGAAGATCTGAAAGAGATTTCATCAAGTGCAACGAAGAAAATTAAAAGACATCAGGAAGCCAACCAGCATTCTGCCCGCAGACAAAATCAACTCGTCCTCAAAGTTTGTACAACATTGTAACAAATGTTGTAACAAATCCCATCAAGCAAGTCCAACTTTGCCGAACATTGAGGAATTTGGTTGGCAAAAAGATAACGAAGCCGGTGCGTACATTGCTAAGGCCAGTTCAAGCACAATAGCACCAAAAGAATTATTAGGGTTTATCAAATGTGGTTGTGGTTGCAAAGGCAAATGTGAAACAAGTGAATGTTCCTGCTATAATAAGAGATTATCTTGCACAGAAATGTGCCATTGCATTGGTTGCGAGAATACAGATTTTAGCACTGAAATGGACTATCAAGATGACGAGGAAGACGAAATTGACGATTAAACTATTGACTACCGAGTTCCTGTTCTAAGCCTTTAATTGTTAAAGTTTGTTTGTCGTTCAGACTTTAAAATTGTTAATTTCTTATCTATCTGACGTCACATTACCACAGAAAATTGAGACTTAATCTGTATAAGTCTATTATACCACGTTCACAGCCTAGATTGCATCATAGGTTTTCAAAAAATGATTTGCCTCTTACTGTTTTGGAGAAAACTATATAATAGTGAATGAAGTCACACCTAATACCTTTGACGTCATGCCAATGTCATTGAGAGTTTGACCTGGAGACATCGATGCGCTAAAAATTGAGTCAGACTGTCGTGAAATGGAAGAATTAACATAATGCAAGAACGGGATTCGTATTCTGGACAATAGGATCCGGGCTTAATGCCAATTCTCCAATGTGACACTGTCGACCTGAAAAGTTAAAATTTTAGTACATTCAGTTATGGTACATCAAGTAATTGTATAAAAATGTTAATTTTAGAACGTAATGTAACACTGTCTACTTGTAAAATCTCAATTTTAGTTCATTCATAAAAGTTCTTCCCCGAAGTAAGAAAAAACCTATTCAGGAACTAGATAGTCGATTTAAAACTCAATCAAAATCTGGTTTGTGAGTGATGAGATCCTTTTATAGTTTAAGCGAATTACATACTAGTCATTTCATACCATGCTACTCACAGTTTTTTATCAGATATCATTTGAAGCAGCCTATTAAAAACTCCCGTTTCTACAGCAGTCTTCTCATCTTATACCAAAGCGATATCATATTCTGATGTTGAAAATTACGTAATACAACAAGCATAAGGCCTATTCAAATAATTATTAGCTGGATTATGGCAACATTTTATTAGCCATAGTAAATAAAGGATATGAATAAATGAAAACGAGGTTGTTGCATCGAATCTTTCTTTGCTAATTTAAACAGGAAATCTTAAAGTTTATTTACAAGGTAAACTATAAGCAAGGAAATATTTCGGAAGAATTTATCCTTTTGATAAAAGATTTGGATGTTGACTTAACAACACTTTGCAATAGGAAATCATCTAAATGACATGAACAAAAAGGAAAAACAACAAACCTTGCGAGCAAATAAAAGTACATCGATTTCAATACTTAGCAATTGAACAGCTGCAATTTTTTCCTCAGGAACAAAAATATGCTTTATATTTTGGCATCCTCGCGAAATCAATTGCTATAATAGTCGCTGTAACATGATTGGATAGTGATAGATATAGGAAATTGAATTTAAGTGTCGGAGGAAGGCAGTGGTATAAATTGGTAGAAAGTATATACACATGAGAGAAGTTGAATATCACTTCTATTAAACTGGGCAAAGTGGCCAAATTTAGTGGAATCCTGACAAACTCCTCCTCGGATGGTATATTGAACAAAAGCCACAG